AATATTGAGAAAAGTGCAATTGTTTTTAGAGAAAACTTGGTACAAGTGATCGTCAGGAAGAGTTAGTGATTTGCGTCATTATTCTATATATATATTATTACTTTATTAATATTACAAAAAATATATAAATATTTTAAAATTTTATTTATATATTGATTACTTTTTTGAATTCTCTATTTAATTTATTTATCACAGTAGAATTCAGAAAAGTTGGGTTAGACATTTTTGTTGTGTAGTAATATATAAAGTTTGTGAAGTTTAAATATGAGAAAACAGAAAATGAAATTGTTAAGTTGATGTTTTATTTTACTGATAATTTTAGTAAAGTCTAAAAAAAAAGAAACAAAACTTATAATTGTTAAAAATAGTATTTTTATATTTTTTTTGTTAATTCATCATTTTTATTTTTTATTTCAAATATAATAATTGCTAAATGATAATAATGATAAAAATGTTTGCTTAATCATCAATTGTAATCAATATTTTTTATTATAATACTTAAGCATTATAAACTAATCATATTGATTGAGGAAAATATATGAGTATAATTCAATTATACTACTATTTGTACTATTGAACTTCAGCAATGGCCTAATTAAATATTACTATAATGGTTGTGCACTATTACAATCACTAGCTAATCACATCGTATATGCTGCTTGAAAACACCCTTAATTTGGTTTGTTTTAAAAATCTGTAAAGATACCTATTATTTGTATATTTGGTATTTATACAAAGAAAATTAGAAAGTCATCAATCTAAATTGACAATAGAATTTATCATTTAATGCAAAATTCTTCTGCAATGTGATAACTATATTAAACAGCTATATAGTAAAAACTTCTTGAGACTGGATTATTTATTATAACAGCTTATCTTAATCAAAAATAACATTTATTAATTGATGCAAAATTATTCCAACTATATTAAAAAGTAATATTACATGCATACAAGACTTTTTTTTATTTTATATATTTTATTATATAAATAAAAAATAGTTAATTCTATATTAAACATGATTTTTATCTATTTAAAAATATAAATAAAATTATTACTATTACAAATTATAGAATAAATTTATTATTTGTATATATACCAAAGTTTTCAAAATTATCAATAATATCAAGCTTAACTTAAGCAGAATCGGTTTGAGACAAATCTAAATAAATAAACAGTAAATTAAATAATTATAAGTTTTAATATAGATTAATTGAAAAAAATAAATACCTTTAAACGTATTTGAAATTAATTTTGAGTTAATAATTTTACAAACATGTAATTTTACATAAATTTCAGTAAATCAAATTTCATGTCATTTTTGTACTATTTGATTTGAATGTATGATCCAAATTTTAACTCCTCAAATTGCCGAAAATTTAATTACAGAAGCCATACATCATGTGATCAAAAATTACAATTACATGAAAATCCAATTTACCGAATCTTACACAAAAATTACATAAATTACGTAAAATTACACATAATTTAAAATCTTGTCATCAAGTCGGCCTACATATACTCTAACGCTGGCAAATTCCGGGTATAATCATATGAATAATGCAGGCCAAACTATCATTTACCTGGTGCTCTTTCAAAAATCAACAGCTCCGAATTTAGGAAGGTTATTGATTATACCGTTTTAACTTTTTATATATGAGTGCTGCCAAGGGAAAATGACCCTTCGGAATTTCAATTATATTTTGTACCGGACATAATTTACTTAATTTATTAAGGATCGTGTCAGATACAAAATATAATTGAAAGTACGGATGGTCATTTTCTCTTGGCAGCATTCTTACATTCGTGCTTGTAATAAAATATTTCTAGTAAATTTCGAGCCTTTAGGTTAGGGACAGGATCTTGCCGTTTGGTAAGGGCTCGAAAATATTATTTTATAAAGAAATTTTCTATACGTAATATGTAAAAGATGGTTTTGTAGTCTATATTTGTATAAACGTTTATCTTATCGTTATGGTATGCCTGATCTTGAAATTTGATTGGTCAACGGAAATGCAACGACCTGTGATTATCGCATAATAAATTTTCCTATTAGATTATCTGAAAATTGTTCATTAAAATGTTAATCATTGCACAAAATTAATGCACATGCATACAATTATAATTCGAAAAGAAAGTTCAAAATAAATGTGAATACGTAGGAAGTCGGAAGCTTAACCATCTTATTATCTAGTTACGTACTAATACTGTAATATAACTTATAATGAAGCCAAATATAGCATTAATACGTAATCCTAAGTTCATTACTTTATGGATCTTAATTTTACTTACCCTTATTTATATCGGGTTTCTTAACAATGTATCAAACGATGACACTCCAACAGCTCCAATAGATTATGACGAATTGAATGGAACTTACATCGAACCAATATTCGGTACCATGAATTATAGTGAATATATTCCGGGAACTTTACCTTTAATTATTTCGATTCCACATGGTGGTCATTTGTTTCCTTCTGAAATACCTGATAGAAAACAAAATCATCCAAATGTCGTAAAATCCAATGATATTAATACTCAAGAGATTGGTAGAAAGATTGTAGACCAGATTATGTTACAATTTAAAGGAAAGAGACCTTATTTGATTATTAATCATCTTGGGAGAAGTAAAATTGATGTCAATAGACCAATAAAAGAAGGGGTTGAAGGAAAAGATTCCATAACATCGATTGCTTGGAACGATTATCATCATTTTATGTGGACTGCTATTAAAGATGTTGAAGCAAATTTTGGTCGTGGACTTTTAGTCGATATTCATGGTACATTTATATTTTAAAACATTACTTGCAACAATTTAACAATTTTTACCCTTTTTTTTTTTTTTTTTTTTTATAGGCCACTCTCACCCAGAACACATTTTATTGAGTTAGGTTATGCCCTTTCGGCTGAAATACTTTCACTTTCAACTTCACAAATAAATTCGAATTCAGAGATTCATTCGGGATCAAGTATTCGTGCTCTATATACTAGAAAATTGAGGAGTCTCCAATTTGCTGACTTACTTTATGGTAAAACTACTTCACTTGGTGGTCGTTTACAGTCCCATGGCTATGATACTGTTCCATCGCATGTTCATCAGCATCCACTTGAGAATGAGAAATATTTTCGTGGTGGTTACTGTGTTCAAAAATATGGCTCACGACACGCAGAACAAATTATTGATGCTATACAAATTGAGTATGTTCTTGTTTCCTATAATCTTTATCTATAAAAATAAACGAATAACTATTTGTTGTTATTTTTAGAATACCGAGAACTTTACGAATTGGAAATAAGCAAATGAGAGAAATTTTTATATTAGCATTGTCAGAAAGCATCTCTTGGTTTTTAAGAGAGTACTATGGATAAATAGATCAAAATGCACGAGTGCTTATTAAGACATATTACACTTTAGTTTACACTTTAGCTATGACAGTTACCTTACTGTTTCACATTTATTCTCAAATTTAATGCAAATAATATAAATATGATATTGATTGGTTTTGTTTTAAATAATTTAATAATGTCGGTGCGTATTTTTCAGTTTTTTTTCTTAGGTTGGGTTAGAATTTAGGTTAGAATTATTAATGAAAGATTTGTATTTTCAGATTAAGACCCTCAAATTCTAGCATTATCCCCAACAATTAATAATCAAATTTTATTTAGCATATATTGATATTATATTCTACATTTCTTTTTATTTGTATTTGTAAAATCAAATCGTGGTTACGCAGTTGACGAGGAATAGAATTCAGTAAATGATTATGAAAGTCACTTAATTGACGAGTAAATTCATATGTGCGATCTGAGACGGCAGTGTTTGTAATATAGCCGAGAAATTCATTAAAAGACAATATTTTTATAGCATATAATTTATTAAGCATTTGTAATAAAGGTATAAATAAATATCGTTGTAAATGCTATTCATATCATATGCGCGAATTTGTAGAATTGGGCCTCTAATGATCTGCAAAATATCACATGCTGATTGGGCGTAAATTAGGGTGTCCAGGATTATGCGATGCGAAATTATGCTATTTTTCCAATTTTGTCACGGATGATTCTTGATTTTGATTGGCTATGAGCGACGATCTCTTGATTTTGATTGGCTAAGAGCGACGATCAATAATTTAGGCCAATGTTACTCAAAATTTTACTAATGAAACCACAGCCGCACATTAAGTGAAAAATATTCCTGGGCTAATTTTACCATTGTGCGGGCCTATTTCTCTAAAAAGTTCAATTTTGGGAATGAAAAAGTTAAAAGTTAATTCCGGCCAAAAATTATGTAAACAATTATGTAATGCGGGCCAAAATTTTGTAGATCACGGCCGTTAGCCAATCAAAATCGAGAATCATCCGTGACAAAATTGGTGCAGCAGCTATGTCCAATCGCATCGTATATGCTTCGCATAATTGGGACCAGTGTCTGAAATTGGGTTGCGGAGCTTGCGGACCGCAAATGATTTATAAGATTCCACAACTAAAATCCGAAATGTATATGCTGATTCTGCAACTAAAATCCGAAATGTATATGCTGATTCCGCAAATGAATTTGTGAATTTAATATAGAAATGTTCAAATTTGCATATAAATACATTCATATGCGCAACTAAATCCATATAATCTGCAAGTAAAGTTTTTTATTTAGTTGCAGCCCGCAACTAAATTAAAAATTGAATTTCAGACACTGATTAGGACCCCCACAGCAAAAGGGGGGATCGGCAAATTTTAAAATTTTATGAAAATCACATTTGAAATTTTATGATTAGGGCAGTGACAGATATTACGTAATATCCTAGAGGGGGGGTAGATGAAGATAATATTTCATATTGATATTTCATATATGATCATATATGACGTGGGGGGATATCCCCTGATAAAATGATATTACGTAATATATGTCATGGCCCTTATCAAACGTACAAATTTATAGTAAATTAACAATATCTCTTGACTCAATAATTAGAATCTAATGATTTTTATATTATTCAATTCGTCTTGATATGACGAATCAAATGATATAAAAATTATTAGATTTTAATTACTATATCGCTAGATATAATTAATTTAATAAAATGATAATTTTTATTTAAAAGTATTATATTGCAGTAACGAATAGATAAAGCTCTAGTTATAAGAAGTTATTTATATAAAGTTTATAAATTTAAAAGTATATAAAATTCGGCATTGCAAACAATTTACTTAATAATCAAAGGCATTTAAATAGAATAAAAAATCTAGCTTTAATGTATTACGACTATTTTAAATAAAAAAATCTAGCTTTTGATATATTACAACTACCTTAAATAAAAGAAACAAATATATCTTGCAAAAGTTAAATAAAAATTTTTTAGAAACTACTAAATAGTAAATTGACTTGCAAGATTAAATTATTTAGTTAATAATAGTATTACATATTATCGCAATATTTTACTAAAAGTTTTAAAAAATATTCGAATATCAAAAAAATTGCAATAAATATTTGAATAAAAATCGCTTAATTTATTAATTTACTTACATTGATATTTTTTTAATTTGGTTCAGATTTATCTGGTTTAGGACATGTAATTTCTCTAAAAGGCAAATCAACATATGGTGAAATTTCTTTATATAACTTTTCCTGTCTTTTTAAAAAAAGCGATTTGTATTAAGAATTGGAGAAAGAATATTTAAATCAAAAAAAAGATCGAATTGTAGTATTTTTATAATTATCTTCAATTCTATCTTTATAGAAAACTACTCCGGGATGTTGAGAAGTAAAATAAAAATGATAATAACTTTGAATATTTTGCAATTTTTTAAAGTTTTGAAAATAAGCTTTAAAATTATAGTATTGAAAACCTTCACCATTTAAATAACATTGAGCAGTATTGAGATTAACTAATGTTAAACGATTAATAATAGAAACTACATCATCTACTATATTTACTTTGCTCTTTTGATAAAAAATTTTAATTAAACCAAAACAACTATTGCATATAAATTTTGTGTGCCCAGGTATCATAAAATTTAACTCAATCTCGTTATACATTCCATGATCAATTAGCCAAGAATAAAAAAACAGTGAATAATTGTTTTTATTTTGCCCTGTGCAGTTGTCACATGTAATAATTAACTTTTTTTCACCTCAATTATATTTTTTAATTGCATGCTATACTAAACTTAATATGCAATTCACATCCTTTTCTAGCTTACCATCATCGGGCATTTCACCTTCATTAATTACATAATTATTTTGTTCTGTATAGGGATAATTACCAATATTGCAAACTTCAAATAAATGTATTTTGTGAGGACTTTTAAAAAACAAAGATTTGATTTGTTGTAGTAAATAAGAGACTAATACATTTTGAGCCCAATCATATACTATATGAGCACAGCTATTAAAAGATTTAAATTATATATTAATTTTGTTTAAATTACAAATGCCATCAGTAAGCGCAAGTTTAATATTAGCATTATAGTAATTACATTCTTCTTTTGCTTGATTTAGATGTACCAAATACTTTTCTGTAATTTTAATTTTTTTTTATATTCATTAATATACTGAATATTTAATTTCATTATCTCGCAAGTTTCATATAAATCTGATTTTAATGACATAAATTGGAGCGACAGTATTAAAGTTTTTCAAACTTTAGTAAAAGTTGATTCAGCTATAATATGTTTCTCATTTGGATACTTAGTTTTAAATGCTTGCATATAATCATGATAGACTGAGACATAACTATAACTTGTTGGAAGAAATATAACAGGCATGGAAATTTTATTAAAATGCTATCCAGGTGAAGGTATGCCATATATATCAGCATAATTTTTTAAAAATATATAGATTTCACATGACTTATTATAATTTATTTCAACACGTTTCATATTTTTTGGAGATTTTCCTATATTACTATGAATGCGTTCTTCAAGGCCATATTCTTTTAAATGTTGTATTATAGTATCTATATATTTGTGATTAACTCCAACAAGAACTTCATATAGTGTGACAAACTGAAAGACTATTATTAAAACAATAATTAAACCATAAGTATTTTCTATTATTTGCAGTGACTTTTTTTGTATTTTCATTTTTTTGAAATGCTATTAGCTGTTCTTTAATAACCATATCACGTAAATTTTTGTCTAAGCTTTCAAATTCTATTTGATGTGCAAGAAAATAATCATATCCAATTTTCTCAAAGCATTTAGGGTGACATATATATTTTCTATTTTTAAAAAACTCTGTTACTTTTGATTTTAAGTTATCATAAACTTTGTCTTCAATATAATTATTAGAATTGTTTATATATTCAAAGCTATTTAAGTATATTTTATTAGAGCTATCAACGATTTTATCATTATCAGATTCAGATTTAATATCATCATCTGATATATTTTGTTCGCTTTCAGAACTTGAACTTT